TGATTAGAAGAGACAAAGAAGAACACTACATAATGATCAAGGGATCGATCCAAGAAGAAGATATAACAATTGTAAATATGTATGCACCCTACATATGAGCACCTCAATACATAAGGCAAATACTAACAGCCATAAAGGAGGAAATCGACAGTAACACATTCATAGTAGGGGACTTTAACATCCCACTTTCACTAATGGACAGATCATCCAAAATGAAAATAAATAAGGAAACACAAGCTTTAAACAATATGGGCTTAATTGATATTTATAGGACAGTCCATGCAAAAACAACAGAATTCACATTTTTCTCAAGTGCTCATGGAACATTCTCCAGGATAGATCATATCTTGGGTCACAAATCAAGCCTTGGTAAATTTAAGAAAATTGAAATGTTATCAAGTATCTTTTCCGACCAGAACGCTATGAGACTAGATATCAATTACAGGAAAAGATCCGTAAAAAATACAAACACATGGAGGCTAAACAATACACTACTTAATAACGAAGTGATCATTGAAGAAATCAAAGAGGAAATCAAAAAATACCTAGAAACAAATGACAATGGAGACACGACGACCGAAAACCTATGGGATGCAGCAAAAGCAGTTCTGGGAAGATTTTAATGAAAGAGATAACACTGGTTTCCTCCGAGAAAAAGGATTGGGTGACAGGGGAAAGATGTGGGAGGAAGACTCGCCACTGCATATATTGCATTTTGCACAATTTAAATTTCAACCACAAGAAGGTGTTACTCGTTTAAAATATTATATTAAAATCATTTAAAAGGTAAAAAACTAAATCTTTAAGAACCATGGAATACTACGAGAAAGACATTTAGTGAATTCTGGTCTTCGACATGGGGGTTGCATGAAAGTTTTTTGATGGACGGGGGCTTTCCAGCACAAAGGATCATTAGTAAGGCTGGTCCTGCTGGATGTTGGTTGGAGCACAAGGACCACTTCCTTAGGAGTGATGTACATACAGCAGTCAAAGACACTACATCTGCTGAGACAATCCTAATTTCAAATACTCAGTTCCTTGTGGCCATAAATACCCAAGTGTTTATCAGACTAACACTGGGGTATTTTGTTCAGAAAGTCTAGTCTCTGTTGAAGTAAGTCAAGAGCCAGGTAGGAAGCAGAGTGTGTTGAGGGACACAAAACTAGGTTGATGGATAAAGACATGAAAGGAAGGGACCGTCATGTCCAACCTCGGTGCCGTGAATCAAAAAAACAGTTTATAAACTGCCTAAAGAGGCACACGCCAATTGTGTTGCCTCTGTGTGAGGTGGAAGGAACTTCCGGTTCTTGCCTACCTGCCAGAGCCCTCGTGAAATGTCCCCCCACCCGACCCTACCCCGACCCACGTGTCCTCTGCCCCTCCCCCACTGAAGAATGTTTCAGCCCACATTCTACTGCTTAGATTCAAACTTGTCCCTCCTTTACTTGGATCCTGAGCATCTGCTGAAGCAGGTCACTCTCTGGGTCCTGGTCTTGACTTTTCTCATTGAGGCTACCAGGCAGCAGTAGTCCGTGCCCAAGCCTGCAGGATGGCTTCAGAAGGAGGTAAGCCTATAGGCTGGGGGTGTGTTCTCAGAGACCCTGCCATCCCTCACATCCTTCGGGTTCACACGTCACACCTCACTGTGGGCACATAGTTGGACTGAAGTAGAGGGAGAAGAGAGCACTGGACGCACAAGCAAGCTTTAAATGATACATTAAACAAGATGGACTTAATTGATATTTATAGGACACTCCATCCAAAAACAACAGAATACACATTTTTCTCAAGTGCTCATGGAACATTCTCCAGGATAGATCATATCTTGGGTCACAAATCAAGCCTTGGTAAATTTAAGAAAATTGAAATGTTATCAAGTATCTTTTCCGACCAGAACGCTATGAGACTAGATATCAATTACAGGAAAAGATCCGTAAAAAATACAAACACATGGAGGCTAAACAATACACTACTTAATAACGAAGTGATCATTGAAGAAATCAAAGAGGAAATCAAAAAATACCTAGAAACAAATGACAATGGAGACACGACGACCGAAAACCTATGGGATGCAGCAAAAGCAGTTCTGGGAAGATTTTAATGAAAGAGATAACACTGGTTTCCTCCGAGAAAAAGGATTGGGTGACAGGGGAAAGATGTGGGAGGAAGACTCGCCACTGCATATATTGCATTTTGCACAATTTAAATTTCAACCACAAGAAGGTGTTACTCGTTTAAAATATTATATTAAAATCATTTAAAAGGTAAAAAACTAAATCTTTAAGAACCATGGAATACTACGAGAAAGACATTTAGTGAATTCTGGTCTTCGACATGGGGGTTGCATGAAAGTTTTTTGATGGACGGGGGCTTTCCAGCACAAAGGATCATTAGTAAGGCTGGTCCTGCTGGATGTTGGTTGGAGCACAAGGACCACTTCCTTAGGAGTGATGTACATACAGCAGTCAAAGACACTACATCTGCTGAGACAATCCTAATTTCAAATACTCAGTTCCTTGTGGCCATAAATACCCAAGTGTTTATCAGACTAACACTGGGGTATTTTGTTCAGAAAGTCTAGTCTCTGTTGAAGTAAGTCAAGAGCCAGGTAGGAAGCAGAGTGTGTTGAGGGACACAAAACTAGGTTGATGGATAAAGACATGAAAGGAAGGGACCGTCATGTCCAACCTCGGTGCCGTGAATCAAAAAAACAGTTTATAAACTGCCTAAAGAGGCACACGCCAATTGTGTTGCCTCTGTGTGAGGTGGAAGGAACTTCCGGTTCTTGCCTACCTGCCAGAGCCCTCGTGAAATGTCCCCCCACCCGACCCTACCCCGACCCACGTGTCCTCTGCCCCTCCCCCACTGAAGAATGTTTCAGCCCACATTCTACTGCTTAGATTCAAACTTGTCCCTCCTTTACTTGGATCCTGAGCATCTGCTGAAGCAGGTCACTCTCTGGGTCCTGGTCTTGACTTTTCTCATTGAGGCTACCAGGCAGCAGTAGTCCGTGCCCAAGCCTGCAGGATGGCTTCAGAAGGAGGTAAGCCTATAGGCTGGGGGTGTGTTCTCAGAGACCCTGCCATCCCTCACATCCTTCGGGTTCACACGTCACACCTCACTGTGGGCACATAGTTGGACTGAAGTAGAGGGAGAAGAGAGCACTGGACGCACAAGTACATTTTGCCTGGGGAGACTGGGGAGCCTGAGGAAACCTGAGACTGCACTGGGGAGGAGGGGTCACTGGAGGTGGATCAAGAGGAATTGCCCTGGCTATGGAGAAAGGATGGCAGCAGACAGGTTGCTTGTTTCTAGAAGGGAGACAAGCCACTTTGAAACGTGTGTGTAAGGATGTGTGTGTTGTCATGGTGGTGACACAGGGAGGGTCATGAGGAAAGCCTAGAATTGTATTGTGTTCCTGAGGCACCTGAAACTTGCCTCACCATATCTTTCAAAGGGATTTGAACAGGAGCATATTGTATCTAAGGGGGCTGTGGGGAGAGATGGTCTTGGTGAGAAAACTATTCAATGGGGCTCTGTGTGGCCACATCTTCAGTGAAGTGTCCTCTCCGAGAGCTACGCAGGATGTTACTCTAACTGCCACAGCCCACACTTCTTCCACTCCTCCCAGCCCAGAGCTCACTTCTCAGTTCACGTAACTTTTGCCTTGGATTCAACAGGGATGTGTAACTGTGTAACTTCAGCCAAGAGAGGGCTCAGGTTCCTGAGTTGCTCTGAATTGTTCTTCCTTTTGTGGAATTGCAGTACTTCAGACCTACTTCATCTTGTCCAGTATCTCATGGTGGACCCTCAGGCTGCCTCGAGAGGAAGAGTTTGTTGATATTTCATGTCACTCCTTCATAGACAGGGAACAGATGCGGAGTGGGGTTGGTTCAGGTGGAATGTCTATGAAGGCTGCTTCCCTTTTTAAAGGGGGAAGGAGTGTAGCCCAGGTCAGGAAGATGATCTTCTGTTTTACTATAAAACATCCTATGACACCTGTTCTGATTAATTAGGTGCACCATTGTGTGTACCTTGTTCTCCTGAACAGCAATGTGTTCAAGACAACTTGATCACCATGGCACCTGGCTTATGCCTGCTTCTCAGATTGTCTTTCCATTATTGGAAGCAAAAGGAACACAGGAGGCCTGTACTCCCACGACCAATGTAACATTACAATTCCCTGGCCCTTGTTTAATCCTCTGCAGCCATCACTGGGTGTGAAGTGATAGAATCTAAGGGACACACGCCTACTTCTCAGACCCAAACCCAACTCCTAGGAACAGAACTCCTGAGCGATGACAGAGACTCTGGGCAATAGGGAGAGGGTGGCAGGACCTGGCCCATGTTACGTATCTGCTGTGGGTTGTTCTGAGATGCAGGTGCATTCTGGGCCAGTGTTATGGTTTGTATCAGGATTCCATTAGAGAGATATTTTCCAGCATTTTGTTTGTTTTGTGAGGCTAGGAATGAAAGGGGATTTATACAAGCATCAGGAAAAGGAGGACTGAGGAGGAGGTGGGCCCCTAATATTTTACACAGTGCCTGTCCACAAAGGGCCTTTGGGTGCCTAGAACTTACCTTTCAGAAGGTCCCTACCTGCTAGTACACCAGCTGAGGGGTATTTTTCACAGAGCAGGTGTCCACACAGTTCCAGGTCTTGGGAGACAGCCTGTGAGGCTTAGGTGCCAGGGGGTGCCTTAGGGAGGCTTTCCAATTGAGTGCTTGCTGAGACAATTTCTTCTCGGCAGACAGGGGTCAGGGGCCTTGGTGGATGGGCGCGGGGTCACCGGTGGAGTAATTCTCAACTGGAGGTCAGGGCATGAAAATCACTTGAAGACATTTGCACGCTGCAGTTTCCCTTGCCCAAGTGTCTCTCACCTGTGGAGATTTACACTCTGATGCCGCAGAAAGCCTCAGTCCCACTGCCCCTTCTCCTCCTCCATTCACTCCTTTCCTTTGCCTCAACAGCATCTCCAGTGCTGGGAACAGATGTCACCATGAACCCCGGTGCCTGCTTGTCTGCTCTCATGGCAGTGCCCTTTCCTCCACCCTTTCCTGGCGCCCAGCACCGGCCACCCTGGGAGCAGCACCTGCCACCTCCCATCACCCCAGCATTCCCTCCTGGCAGCAGCCTGCTGCTGCCAGCTTTCCCCAGGACGCCTTTGGTGGCTAATGGTGGCCGTGGACCCAGTGCCCCCAGGGCTTGCAACCTCACTGTCCAAGTCAGGTCACAAGGGAGGACAGTGGAGGCCCCCAAGACTCAGACCTTTATTGTTACTCAGGGCCCCCTCACCTGGAGTGCTCCAGGGGCCCTCAGCGGGAGTGCTGCATGTCCTGCACCCATATTCTTAGCAACCCCTGTGATGGAGACCATTGTGACTACTCCAGCTGTTGGAGTTACTCAGGCTGGCAAGGGAGGCTGGACCCCAGGCTTTCCTCCGCAAGCTCCACCACCAGCTGCCCAGCTGACCCCTATCATTCACCCAGTGAACTCTGGGCCTTGGCCACATGGCACTTCCAGGGAGGGAAGCCTGGCCACCAACCAGCCCTATGCCTCGCAGGGTGACTGCTCTAACACCCAGAGCGTGTACAGTAACTTCCGACGTTGGCAGTGCCTCAAGCCACTAGCCCGGAGACACCTTCCCCAGAGTCCTGATGCAGAAACTCTTTCCTGCTTTCTCATGTTAGTGAACCGTCAGGGGATCGTGAGCTTATCAGAACTTTTAGATAAAGAGGAATTGGGGATGAACTTGCAGGTTAGGTTTCTAGGGATACTGGAAGCAAGGTCTGAGGGCGATGTCTATGCTATGAGAAGGCACATTGTCAGTCATATGGGTGAGGCTGCCAATCTATGACATCATGACTGAAATGTGCCTTATCTTAACTGACCCCACCACCCTGTGAGTCTAGCCAACTTGCTATTCCATGATTCTCATGGTAATATGGACTGAAGACTTGCAGTCAGAGAGGGTCGTGGTGTAAGGTGAGGAGCCAAGGAGTGGATGCCGTACTCTCCTGTGGTGCCATCTGCTTTCATACAGGACTTGAGTGTACATGGCCAGGGGAGGTCACTTCGGAGGTGGGGGAGGGGCGCGGGGCCCAGGAGAGCACTTAATGCACGCCTCAACTTCGTTGTTGTGGAGAATTCCACTAGGAACAGAGTGATGGTAGAGCTCTCCTAAGGGCGTTGGCTCTCTCCCACTAGAGTTGTGAGCCTGGCAGGCATTTCCATCCTAAACCTCTGATCCCTCCTAAAAAGGGGACCATCACACTTCACTCAGAGGACTGGGAAGAAGACTCCTTGGGCTAATCTATGAAGTGTTAGCTGATTGCCTGGCACATGCCACTCCTCACTGATGACAGTGATTTTTATTATGTAAAGGCAGCCTTGAAGAGGAAAAGAGCTCCCCAAGGCCAGTGTCCCAGCTGTAGCCTGGGAGTGGATGGTCATCCTCGAGTGAGTGTGAGGCGGTGACAGTAGTAGCTGGGAAGGCTTGTCTTTGCCCTCCCAGACACCTGCCTCTCACCCTCCTGTTGCTCAATCATGCTGTGTTGAGTGATGTGTGATCCACATTGGTGGGTGGGGTCAGGCAGGTGGGGGCTGGGCTGGGCATGGAGACTGACCCCAAGGTCTTACAGCCCAGTGCTTCAATCCCTGGTCCACCTGAAGCCCACCATGTCTCTGGAGGAGGGACTGTGCAGGGCCTTGCAGGAATGGCAGCACAGAAGCAACTTTGACCAGATGATCTACTACAAGATGGTGGAAAAGTGAGTCAGCGTCCTGGGCCCAGGCGCTGCGTGGAAGGTGAGGCAAGTGGGTGAGGGCAGGGTCTGGCCGTGAGGGTGCTCATCAGAGAGGGCAAAGGATAAGGGCTGTCACCCAGAACAGGGGCCCCGCAGCCTAGAGGCCCTACTGTCCTCCAGAAACCCCTCCCTCAGCTTGAGAGCTTGGGTCTTCTGTCCTTCCTCCACCAGGAGCTCTGCCCTCCCCTGATTTTGACCTACCCTTGCCTTGACATGAAGGTCACAGGATGGGGCAGGGTGAAGCTGTGAGTCCAGTAGGGGTCCAAGTCCAGCCATATGGGCTGGGCCGGGGAAAGAGCTCCACCCGCCAGCCTGCTGCTTCCTTAGTGGTGGGTGGCTGGCAGCCACTGACATAGATTTGGGACCCCCTCTCCTCATGAAAAGTGGCCTGAGTGGGTACCCTGGCATCCCTGAAGAGGCTGGGGAAGCCAGTATGTCGTCAACCCAAGGGTCACCGGCCCTTCCAGTATTTGCTCCATGGTAATCCCCTTGGTTTAAGAAACAAAACCAAACAAACGAGTGCCTCTCAGAGGAAAGGAAGGCCTCTCCTCTAAGCTCACCATCCACATCAGAGGCCCAGCCTCTCCTGGGCCCTGTCTCCAGGTCTATGTTCCAGGACTCTCAGTCCCAGCCCAGGGTCCTGGAGTCGGGCAAGGACCCCTGTGGGGAACACATGCCTGTTCCAGCCTCTGGCTGTCAGCCCTTCATGTGGTTCTAGATGGGAACAGGGGGCATGAGGAGGGTGCCCCCTGGGTCAGCCATGTGTCCCGTTGACCTGGTTCAATTCAGGGACCTGGGTCTATGCTGTTGAATGCCCTCCAGTGCTGGTGAGGCAGGAGGGGTCCCAGATCTTGTTATCTCTTCCAGAAGCAGCTCTCTGCTGTTGACAGCACCTCACAGGGCCTTGACGGCCCCAAAACACATCCTCTCCCAATCCCTCATTCTTGGCTGCCTTTGTTGGGTTCCAGAACCCAGGCCTTTTTCTAAGGGTGGCCTGTGCCTCCAAAACCCCCCAGGTTCATGGAATTTGAGGCCGAGGAGGAGATGCAGATACAGAAGTTGCAGTGGATGCAGTGCACGCAGGACCTGCCTCCTCCAGCCCCACTGAAGCTGGATCTTCAAGGGCCCCCAGTCCCAAAAGCGGGCCTTCAGCCAGGCACCCAGGCTCCCACTGGAGTTGAAGGCACAGGTAACAGGGGCCTAGGGTTGGCCACTGTCCCCATGTGGATCCTTTTCCTTCAAGACAGGGGCACTGGTCTTTCAACCAAAACAGCCAGCGAGGCAGGGGGTGGGGGCGTGGGGTCTCAGCTGCCCTTTGTCACTACGGGGTATTGACTTGGTCAGTTTTGTAACTCCTCTCACACCTCCCTGTCAAAGGACCCCGCACAAAGCCTGCCTAGGAAGTGGGCTTGATGGGAAGGCCCCTAGAAAATTGGAGTTTCCCCACTTCCTTACTTGTGACTCTCTTAGTTGCCCCCCTTACCTCCCCTCTCCAACAGTGTATGAGGCTTCAGGTGGTCCTGACCCACCCACACCCACATCAATGTCCCCCAAACAATGCCTTCACCAACGTGCGCTCGGTGGTCAGGAGGTGGACCGGGAGTCCCTCACCTTCCTTCCCTTCCTCTTGCTCTGCCTCAGCCTGTGCTCCCAGGATGTCCGGCCACAAGGCCCAGCCCTCCCGCCCAAAGCCACACAGGTCCCAGAGGCCCCCGGAGCCCAAGGCACCCAACGAGATTCCCCCTGAGGCTGTGAGCGAGTATATGGACAACATGGAGGTGCTGGTGGGGCCCGTCCACTCAGCCACAGGCGAGTCAGATGCAGAATGTGGAGAGGACGGAAATGAGCTGAAGCAGGAAGAGGATGGCACCTACTCTGACCCAGGCCTCTTGAGCTACATTGACAAGCTCTGTTCCCAGGAGGACTTTGTCACCAAGGTAGGCTAGTCATGGAGCCTGGGGTCTACAAGATGCCAGGGCATGGAACACTCAGCACCCAAGATCTTGGGTTCTGCTCAGGCCGTTGGGACTTAAGCTCAGCTCCTTGTTCCTGAGCCTGGTGTTAGGGGAGGTGTATGCAGATGTATGTGTGTACATGTTTGTGTCTGTCTGTGTGTATGCCTTTGTGTGTCTGTGTATGTGCCTCTATATATGTGCTCTTTTGTGTGTGACTGTATATGTGTATGTGTGTGTGTGTGTGTGTGCTGACCATCCCTGCCTTGTGGAGGACAGTGGGGTGGGTCTCTGCTTTTCACTTTCCCTCCTGGTCTTCTTGTCTCACAGGACACTCCTGGCCAAGGATGCTCACAGCCTCCTCTTCCTGTTCGAGGTGGAGGCAGTCATTCACCCTCAATTCCTGGCAGAATTGCTTTCCACAGATGCACACGTGGATCTCTTGGCCCTAGCAGAGGAGCTGGAGCAGGAGGAAGGGCTCACCCCCGAAGAAGTGAGCCATGGTGGGGAGAGGGACACTCAAGGACCCTGGAGACCCCACGGAGGGGGATACCTGAGGTGATCCAGCGAGCAGGGGAACCCACATGACCCAGGGGAGCCAGAGGAGGGAAGGATCCCCAGTAGAAGAGGGGAGACAAGGGACACCCAGGAAGACCAGGGCATGGAGGGACCCCAGTGAACATGGGAGAGGTAGGGCCCCAGAACAGGAGGGCCACATAGCTCTGTCCATCCAGCCCCTGCCTGGAAGGCCTGGCATGGGGAAGGGCCTGTTCTGTGGTGGGTGCAGTCCAGGGATAAAGAAAGGGGAGGATGGGGAGCCGAGAGGGGAGGGAAGGACACAAATCTGGGTATAAGGTGCAGATGGATGGCAGGAA